TCAGCTAGTCGAGATATGACGATCGGTATACTTAATGGTGGATCTAGGACCAATATTTCGCGGCGTTACAAACTCTTGGGGCTGCACAAAGCTATAATACCCTGACAACAAAGTTGTGTAGGGTATAAAAACAAACATTTTCACGATATATTAGAGACTGTTATATCTTTTTATCTATTTTCTACTACGTTAGGAGTCGGTGATTTTTATACCCTACACAAATATGATGTAAGGGTATTATAGGATTATGGGGTCCAAGGATTTGAAACACCGCGAAATATTGATCCTAGATCAATAGATCGTCATATCTAAAATATATGAGTCGATCTAGACATGTATGTCCGTCTGTCCATTATAATTTGTAAGCTCAATACAGGTACACTTTTAAACCAATCTTCACGAAATTTTGCATGTAGATCCAAAAGTCCAAAGAGGAACCATATTGATTATCACATGGATCAAAAAAAAATTTTTTTTTGTTATTAATTTCTCTTTCGAGATGAGCTACATGATCGGAGTTCCAATGAAAAGGAAAGCCAGAGAGATACTACATTCCCACCACTATGCGACGCGTTTCGCCGTTGGTTAAGCGGCTCATCAGGCATATTGGGCAATGTGGCTTACAAATGTCTTTACTTGATAAGTTGTATTTATGTCGACTATTGTTGCGAAATTGCATCTACGAATTAAATTCAACCGTGTCAAGATTCGGACATTTGGCTTCACACCAGAACATTCCTTTTCAGAGCAGATTTTCAGAGCATTATTGTCTGTTTTACTAGCCCTTTGCTAATAAAATTGTACAAAGTGAATGGGATCTGATTAAGAAACAAGCAATGATAATTGGCCCAGACCTTTGTGTTAAAAACGAGAAAAAAATCAATTCTGAAGCTTATATATTTACTCCTGGCAGATATAGACCGAACAACTTGACAGTGAATCCGTATATCTTAAATGTTCCTCAATTAATAAAGATTAATATTGGCCCATATTTCGGGGTAGCCCCCACATGTCGGTACACCCAAATACTCTGTATTTTGAAGATTTGTGGCATGATTTTCAAAATTTTCAGAGGTAATTTTGGTATATTTTTCATTTTTGATCCTTATTGGGTATAAAATCACTTTCTTCATAAATTTATCAAATTGGGACAAATTGGAGCAAATTGGGTAGATCCCATATAATGGTATCCCCATCATTAGAGCCAACCTAATTGGCTCTAATTTAATTACTTAATTTCTCAATGTGACTGTAATTTGTTTTACAAGTTTAATAAGTTTTGCTATAGCCCTCACGTAAAGATATGTATGTAAAGCTAAATATGAACCCCACAGAAATATTTGTAGTTTACAAATGTCCGTCTGTGTGTCAAGTCCACAACTACTCTTGAAGGAAGTAACCAAATTTATACAAGCTTCACACAACGAAATATTTTTTTAAGCTAAATGGGACCCCCCTCATTCTCTGTATCAAATTTGTTTTTTGTTCATTTAATTCGAATCTATACTAATTCAAGAATGTCCCTACAAAATATCAAGTCAAAATCTCAAGAACTCTTGATGATATAGCCGATTTATTGTGTCAGCATCATGTGACGACAGGAGTGATTCTCAAACTTTAAACCCAATTTTATATCCTACACAACTATGTTGTCAGGGTATTATAACTTTGTGCAGCCCCACAAGTTTGTAACGTCGCGAAATATTGGTCTACAGATCGTCATATCCCCACTAGCTGAGTCGATCTAGACATGTGTGTCCGTCCGTCCATTATAATTTGTAAACACGATACAGGCCACAGTTCAGGACCAATCTTCACGAAATTTTGCATGTAGGACGGGTTCTGGCCAATGAAGACCCCTATTGTTGTTGGTAAGAATCGGTTAATATTAAGGGCATGAAGTGGACCTAATATTTAATTTTTGTCTGATTTTCTGGTAGCTCCAGAGGCCGCAATTATGACCCAAACACCGCGAAATTTTGCATGAAGAAAGGGGGTCGGGTCATAGAATAAACATGCCTGTTTTGATAAAGATCGGTCAATATTTAGCGGGTCAAATGGACCCTGATTTTTGTGTGAAAAATCACAAAATTTGTATTCTATAGCGTATATATTTACCCCTGAATGTCATAGACCCAAGAGGTGGAGAATATATCCAAGAGGAGTGGTTGACCTTTAAATTAATACCAATTATATGGTTGTATGTACTCAGATGTGGGAGTTACACTTAAATATTTACAGGTGCTTACGTATTCATATAGTATTTAGTAACCCATTATCACACTAGTGGGTGGAAATATAGCGCTGATCGCGTTGAAGTGTTCCATGAGGTTCCAGTTATGGCCAAGGACAACGTCTATAGTTTTTTTAGTGACAATCAGATAATAGAAAGTAAATTTTTATGTTTTTTCAACTATAAGCGGAACATCACAACACAACCCACGGTGAAGGGAATATGGACAAGTAATTAGAAGCGATGTTCTGAATATTAGTATTAATAATATTAGTTGACCTACAGTCGGTCCAGAGGACGCAAATATCGTGAAGTATTGTCGCAGCTCAGAGTATACAACCACAGGAAGTTAGACTTTCGTGGAAGTTGTGTAGGGTATCATATGGTCGGCCCCGTCCGAATATACTGCTCCGCTCACTGGTTTTACATTGTAATAATTTTACAAAAACTGGATCAAGTACGAAGATGGTCCACTCAGTCTACTCCTTCTGGTATTTTCCAACACAGGGTCTGCAGGCCATTTTTTTTATACCCTTCAAAACACTGTGGTACAGGGTATTATGTCTGTGTGCATATGTTTGTAACTGGCAAAAGGAAACGAGATAGACACATAGTTCCTTTTGAGAATAAGCATAAAATCGATTTATGCATGTCCCTCTGTCCATCTGTCCGTCCGTCCATGTATTTTTGTTAACAAAGTACAGGTCGCATTTGTGATTCGATTTGGATGAAATTTGGCACAGCTTATTTATTTGACCCAAGAATGAACCCTATTGAAATTGGGAAAAATCGGTTAAGATTTAGATATAGCTCTCATATATATGATTTCGTCCGATTTTATGCCAATAGTGCACTAAAGTCCCTATATATCCTTCGATTTGCACGAAATTTGGTACAGCGTGCTGAATTAAGCCTAGAACGACGTGTGTTAAATTTCCTGAAAATCGGTTCAGATTTAGATATAGCGCCCATATATATTTTCGTCCGAATATAGGTAAATAGTGCACCAGGGACTTTGGTGCACGAAATTTGGCACAGGGTACTGAATTAAGTCTAGAACGATGATGTGTGTTAAATTTCGTGAAAATCGGCTCAGATTTAGATATAGCTCCCATATATATTTTTGTCCGACTTTATGTATGCTGCACCATATATATTTTCGAAATTTGGCAGTGTTTTATCCGATGTGTTTTAAATTTTGAAATTCGGCTCAGATTTAGATGTAGCTCCCATATATAAATTTGGATTTATATGTAAATGAAGAACTAAAAATGTGGCCGAACATGTGACAAGTTTTAGTTTAGATTTCGATATTTTGATTTAAATTTATTTACATAATTTTGTCCCATTGTAAGAAGAAACTCTAAATCTGACCAAAATTTTGTATAGTTTGCGGAATGACATGTTTAATTTAATGTTAATGGTTCTTCAAAAATGCGACGGCTGTTAGGATCCCATCTGTTAAATATACCCAAAGTGGTGAAGGGTATCATATAGTCGGCCCCGTCCGACTTTACTACTTTTGTTACTGTTTTTTGCTACCTTCCCACAGATGTTCAAATCTGTGGGGTTTACTCTTAGCAGACCTGAATATATTAAGTTCATATATCGGCTGTTATTTCTGGTACCTCATTCACTGCCGCAATTAAAAAAAAATCAAAAAATACAAATTTTGTAGACCTCCGTACATGTCATAGGTTTATGGTACAATTTATTTGTCGGATAACCAGACTGATACATTCTTACTCATTTAGGCTTGCATTTCAGATCTATTAGGCGTAAACTTTAAAAAAAGTATTTTAAAGACTGCGAAGCGTAAATGAAGATTTTTCCATGGCTATTGGGTTTGGACATTTATATTTTTTTAGAATTATTTGATGCTGAGTCTTATTTAAACAAAAGTTTGAATTCTATTAGACAGGATTTTGTGGCCTGGTCTATTAGGTGTAAAAAAACCAATTTTTTTTGTTAAGTGAGAATTAGGAGACTAATTAATAATTCTTACTACAAAATATATTAGACAGGATTTTTTGGCCTGGTCTATTAGGTTTCGATTTGTACAAAAAAGGCGATTTTTAATGTCACTGCTTTAGTAACCGTGGATTTATTATCACAAAAAAAAATATCTTTTATTAAAATAGTAACTTAATTTACATAATCCACCTTTCTATATTATTTTTCTTTTTTAATTTCCATGTGCAACTAGTTTACATATTTGTTTTCTAAAATTATTTACTATTTGCTTTCAGCTCCACTCTATCCAGCACAAAATAAACTTCTCTATAAATTGGGCACAAATAAACATCAAAACAAATTTGAAAAAATTCAAAAAGAAATTACAAGTATTGGACAACAAATTGAAAAGTTCACAAATTTCAACATCACTCACTCTCAAACACACATACTCACACATAAATAAGAAAGTATTTCACATACGTTCTGGCGGCATTTTGGCAAACAAATTATCTCACAGCACCCAAATTTTTGGTTTATTTCCAGAACTTTGTTGAGAAGCTGTCAAAAGGACTCACCACCACCGCTATTTGCACCATTTTCATTGACACCGGCACCGACAGTTGTAGTTCATCAGCATCCCCATCATCTCTGTTCACTGTTCGTCATTGCAATTGCCAAGCATAGCGTTGTCCTTAACGTGGTGCAACTGCCAAGACCAACATCGTCATCGTCATCGTATCCCTTCACACTCAGTCGAGCACAACGAAGTGAACTGAACAGAACCAACTGCAATAACAACAACAACAAAACAGAAAAAATGAAACATTACCGCCACCATAATCAAGTTGTCTCATCATTATCGTCGGTATGCACAATAATGGCGGTGGCATTGGCCTCCTTGTCAATGCTGCCACATTTAGCATGTGCCACAACAGAAGTCCAAGAGACACCATTGGCTTTGCCAGTTGGCGAACAGACACAGCCGACAACAGCATCGCAGGGTGAAATCTGGGAGGAAGATGATCATGAGATATTAATACGCAATGAACGTGGCACAAAGAATGATGGTAAGTATACACTCGCACACCCACACACACACACATATGTATTATGTATATATGTGTGAGTGGGTGTTTATATCACCCACTCAAAACCGCACCCAATTCACTATTCAATGCAATGGAGGGTTGAGATGGCACAAAACCACCGCAGGGGGGAATCCTTGTTGTCATGTACCAGTGGCATGAATGACTATATTCCACTGACATTCAGTGGCTTTTAAAGCGAGAAAGATGGAAAGAAGAAGCTGAAAATAAATAAAAAAACACGACAAGCGAATAAATAAATAATCAGAAGCCTTAGTCAAGCTATAGCTACAAATATAAATAAGTGCTATGACAGGCAGCCACTCATACAGTATTTTGGATTAAGAAGCACTACAGAAAACGGTTGGAAAATTCGGGTTAAGGCATTGAACGTCCCAAAAATGGACGGGACTTTTTTCATATGGGTCCCTATGTCAAAACAAAATATATATATATATATATATATATCCTTTTTGACAATTTTAAGCGATGAATGTTTTCAGACATGTCTGAAAAAAAGAGTCAGGGTCATTATATGGTTGATGTCAAAACATGGACCTGTATTGGCAATTTTCCGGTTGAAAGTCTTTGTTTGCAACAATTTTGTAAGACAAAAGAAGTCAGCGGCGTCAAATCGGGCGAACGCGGTGGCCAGTCCAAATCACCACTTCCCTACACAACTTCCACGAAAATATAACTCTCTGAAAATCTATATGTTATGGGCAATATGTGTGCGGTGAAGCGCCGTCTTGTTGAAATTGGCATCTTGATGTCAAAAATTACTAATTAATATTTAGTACAGCTCTTCTGATTACTTCTCCAGATTGCCATTTTGAGTTGTGTTGTGATGTTCGACTTTCAATTGTGGCCTATAGATCGACTCGAAAAAAAACACAAAAAAATTAAGTTTTCGGCCCACTTCATCCCAAAATTATTATCTGATCATCACCGAAAATTATAGACGTTGTCCTTGACCATAACTGGAATCTCATGGAGAATTTCAAAGCGATCAGCGCTATATTTCCGTCCTCTAGTGTGGGAATGGACTACTAAATAATATATGAATACATAAGCACCTTTAAATATTTAAGTGTTACTCTCACATCAGAGTACAGACGACAATATAATTGGTATCAATTTAAAGGTTAACCACGCCTCTTGGATATACTATCAACTTCTGGGGTCTATGTCCTTCAGGGATACATATATACGCTATAAAATACAATTTTTGTAATTTTTCACACAAAAGTCAGGGCCTATTTGACCCATTAAATATTGACTGATCTTTATCAAAATAGGCATGCTTATCCTTTGGCCTGATCCACTTATCTATGTAAAATTGCGCGATGTTCGGGCCATAATTGCGGCCTCTGGAGCGACCAGAAAATCAGACAAAAATATAGTTTTTGGTCCATTTCATCCCCTAAATATTAACCGATCTTTAACAAAAACAATAGGGGTCTTCATTGGCCAGAACCCATCCTACATGCAAACAAAATCGTTTTTACAAATTATAATGGACAGACGGACGGACACACATATCTAGATCGACTCAGCTAATCGAGATATGACGATCGGTATACTTAAAAGTGGGTCTAGGACCAATATTTCGCGGCGTTACAAACTTTTGGAGCTGCACAAAGCTATAATACACTGACAACATAGTTAAGTAGGGTATAAATACATAAAATTGAACTGAACCTTTATATGAGTCTATGTCAAAATATGGACCTATATCTAAGATTTTCTGATCGAAATGCCAATTTATGTTTAACCTTGAATATATCTAAAAGGGGCAAGACGGTCATGGTTCAACACAGCCCACGTGTTAAACCATAGACGTCCAATAGTTACATTTGTAATGAATACGTTTTTCACCCACAAAGAATTTGGAATTCCTACGATTACGAGGGTACTGCTTTATGTGGGCCAACTCAATTTCTGTAGTCTTTTGTAAGAAGCCATTTTTATGAAGACCGTGCTGGTCTTTTATAAGCAGACCTTATTGGGCATCCATGGAAGGTTAGAACCGAATACCCTGCTGCTATATTTTTAGACACCTACTATCCACTTTTATTGAACTTTTTTATATGAAGACCATACCGTGGCACAAATGGACCTTAATTGTAAAATATAAGGAGAGCCTATTGGATCTCCGTAAGAAGACTCTATTGGACTTCCAGAACTAGAACCTACATGTCTCTTAAATGAAACCTGTTGATCCTTTAAACCGAGACCTCACTTCTATAAGAATACCCCACTAATCCGTACTTATTATCAATAAGAAACCCCTACTAGACTTCTATAAAAAGGTCGTACTTGAATTCGGAATAGGAAGGCCTTACTTATCATCTATACGAAGAATCTACTGGTCATATATACAGGACAAGTAGAGCCATCTATAAGTGGTAAACTTTAAGAATACCCTACGGGTTTTCTACAAGAAGTCCCTACTTGTCTCCTACAAAAATGTCATTCAGAAGAACATAAGGGAAATCTACCCGATTTCTATAAGAAGACCCTACTGGCCTTTTAAAGGAAGACCCTACTGGTCTTTTAAAAAATACCCTCTGGATTTCTATAACAAATCCTTATGGCATTCGAAGATAGCCTATGTTGACCTTTATTCATTATTGCGGACAACTACGGGTTATCTGCAAGAGGACTATAATCGTTTTTTTGTGGGAAGCCCTGTAAAGATTTCCAGAAGAAGGCCGTAAAAGTCTTTCATATGAAGATCGTAAAAGAAGTCCTGAATGATCTTCCATTTGGAAATCAAAATATTTTCCTAAATGAAGAATGGAAGGGCTTCTAAAAAAAGTTATTTGTTATATAACTCAATTTACCACTTTGTGGATTTACTTTTTATCTAAAGTTTCAAACTCCTTAATTTATTCGCCTTCGTAACACTGTTCCATTATAAAAATTGCATACAACTGTCACAATTCCGACTAACTGTCGAGCAGCGACGACATTAACGATATAGTCAATGTTTGCATTTGACAAGTATATTTATTTATTTTTTTCTTTTCTTTTTGCGGATTATTCACAAGGAAGGAAGAGTATTAAAACAAATACGAAATAAGTGGTAAAATGGAAATGAGGAAACAGCAATTTAAATATTTACAAAGCAAATCAAAGGTTAGAATGATATAAAGGTTACTGAATAAAGTATAAGTGAGGTGGGGGCATAAAAACGAAGTAAATTATCTTATGAATAAGAAGGGAGAGAGAGGGAAGGAAGAAAGGATGTTTAAATATTCTAAATGGGATTTTTTTATTAAGTGGATGGAGTGTACGGAACTTAAATAACGATATGGAGAGACAGGAAATTTAAACGAAACAATTTGTGGGAAAATAAAGGCAAATATTCGAGTTTTCAAGTACACACCATATTGTGGTCTATGTATTGTCATATCACCACGAAAAAATCTTGGTCCATTCAACTCCCAAAAAATTGATCGTCCCCTATTAAAATCATACTATTTATTCAGGAAACCTTCACAACAGTGGGTTTTGACACGTCTTATTTAATTATACACATTTTTGTAATTCCTATATACATTAAAATAATATATTCAATTTTTATACCCTACACAACAATGTTGTCAGGGTATTATAGCTTTGTGCAGCCCCAAGAGTTTGTAACGCCGCGAAATATTGGTCCTAGACCCACCTTTAAGTATACCGATCGTCATATCTCGACTAGCTGAGTCGATCTAGACATGTGTGTCCGTCCGCCTGTCCATTATAATTTGTAAACATGATACAGGCCACAGTTATGGACCAATCTTAACTAAATTTAGCATGTAGGATGAGATCTGGTTAATGAAGACTCCTACTGTTTTTGGTAAAGATCGGTTAATATTTAGGGGATGAAATGGACCAAATACTTAATTTTTGTCCGTTTTTCCGGTCGCTCCAGAGGCCGAAATCATGGCCCGAACATCGCGAAATTTTACATGGAGAAGGGTGAATTTTGGGTGAAAAATTACAAAATTTGTATTCTATGGCGTATATACAGTATTTTTCGGTTAATTGACCCTACGGTTAATTGGTTTCCACGCTTAATTGAACCACATGATGGGTCAAAACTATTTCATTTCATAGTAAGCGGGTTCGGATAATTGGTTCCTCGGTTAATTGAACAAAAATTTGTGCAAATTTTGATGTTCAATTAACCGAAAAATACTGTATTTGCCCCTGAAGAACCTAGACCCGAGAAGTTGACCGTATGTTGAGGAGGAGTGATTGACCTTTAAATTGATACCAATTATACGGTCGTATGTACTCAGATATGGGAGTTACACGTAAATATTTACAGGTGCTTACGTATTCAGATATTATTTAGTAACCCATTACTACACTAGAGGGCGGAAATATAGCGCTGATCGCTTTGAAAATTTCCATTAGATTCCTGTTATGGTCCAGGACAACGCCTATAATTTTCGGTCACGATCAGATAATAATTTTGGGATGAAGTGGACCGAAAGCTTTTTTTTGTGTTTTATTCGATTCGACCTATAGGCTACAATTGAAAGCCCAACATCACAACATATCCCACGGTAAAGAGAATCTGGACAAGTACAGTCCCCGTCTACTGAATATTAGAATTAGATCGCGAAATATTGCCAAAGCTCTGAATATAGAACAATAGAATGTTAGATTTTCGTGGAAGTTGTGTAGGGTATCATATGGTCGGCCCCGTCCGACTATACTGCTTCGCTCACTGGTTTCATAATTGTTTTTTAATATATATTATTTTCATTCTCTAATATAGGTTTATCCTGTCGGTATGGCAAGAATCCATGGACTGAATGCGACACAAAGACTAATACACGCTCAAGAACGTTGACATTGAAGAAAGGTGATCCAGCCTGCGATCAGACACGAACTATCCAGAAGAAGTGCAAGAAAGGTAAGGATTTTATGTAATTATTTATGTCTGTGCCTATATGGATATGTTAGAAACCATACCATATATCGTATAAATTGAGCTGCCCCATGTGGATCTGTTTAGTGCGTATCGTAACTCTCAAATTGAGTAACTGATTTTATCCAAGCTATTGCGCATCATATTATTTTCCACATACAAATTACATTTGAATATGATATATGATTTGATCCATCAATTGTACTTCGTTATGTTTATATATATAAAATATAAAACTAATTTACATTCTATGAATATGGAATAATTAATTGTAGCGAATCTATTCCAAAGAATCTATCCTTCAAGTTTTTAGAAATAATCTTGTCTCTATGAATCTATAAAGACTCATGTTACCAATCCTGGTATTCTTAAAGAAGATTACTAGAACCCCTTCGATTTTCATAATCCTCCCTAGATAGCAATTTTTTATCATTAAAGAAATTTTGCAATGCAAGAACAAGATGATAATATCTTGGTACCAAGTCCGGGCTGTATGGCGGGTGCATTAAATTTTCCCAAACAAGCTATATATGTGTGTGGCCTAACGTTGTCCTGGTGGAACACGACACCTCACCTGTTGGTCAATTCTGGCCATTTCAGGTCAATTGCTATATTCAAACGGTCCAGTTGCTGACAGTGGAGGTCGGTATTTAGCGTTTGGCAATATGGAAGGAACTCGTAATAAATAATCCCCTTCCAGTCCCTGGCCGTTAGTCCTGGTATGGGCACTGTTTAACGGGCTTCACCGCTATTTGACCACAATCGTTTTCGCACAGGGTTATTGTATGCGATCCATTTCTGATCTCCAGTCACCATCCGTTTAAGATATGGGTCTATCTCATTCCGTTTGGGCAAGGCTTCGCAAATTGAAATTCGATCCATCCTATTTTTTCTGTTAATTGGTGTGGCACCCAAACATCGAGCTTATTTTTGAATGCAGCTTTGTGTAAATGATTTAAAACAGTTTTATGGTAAATTTTTAGCTCCTGGACGATGTTACGGCTGCTAACATGCCGGTCAATTCCGATCATTTCTCCGATTTTATCGCATTTTCGACGACCTTTTCTTTTTCCCCAACCTAATATCAAACATCCAATCGAAATCTCATTTCCCGATTTCAGTCCTATCGGGCAGTATCCCAATTCTACATATCCCAATTCCACAGATCTCCCAAAAGCTCTTTTATTCAACTGTCGTTTTACTTCGGTCATTCTTTTAATAGTTCATCGTTCTCCGATTCGTTCAGTTGATAGTTTGAGTTCTAAAATTTAAAATTAAAAAAAAAATAAGAACAGTTTATGGACCTATAAGGTGTGAATTTTTAAATAAATGTTTCAAAAGATTTGATGAACTTATATGGCGTGGAATAAAAAAATGTTCCAAACAATAGGTCCACATATTGTTTGGAACACTTTTTTTAGATTTTTAAAGAAAAGTTTTAGAATAATTGAAAAATTACTTGCCAACATATATATTTTTATTAGTGTTTACTAAATGGGAGCGCTGTAATATCACATGCAAAATAAAACTCGATCGGTGTCGCTTCCATTTAGACCAAATCGAACTAAGTCAGTAAAACGCTCACATCTAAACTAAAAGGTACGACTGTTCCAGTTCGTTCATTTAATGAACTAAAAAGAACGAATTTGTAAGACCTAGTTCTATCGGTCTTTTAAGTGAATCGTTCATTTGAACTAGTTCGTTCGTGAACTGTACAACTCTACCCAAAATTCAAATTTTACAAAATTTAGTACCCATAAGTATGAATTTCCAAAACTACATCCATACCCCAATCTTACACTCCAATAGTAATCTTATGTCCAAATTGCAGTGTTTCAGCTCTATCGATTTTTCCAAATCTGTTCTACCAAATATAGTACATTTTAGTACTATTCTACTGATATGTACAAATATCGAAAACTACCTACATATCCCAGTCCTACTCTTCGACGGTAATATTAATTTGAAATTTCCGGATTCCAGTTCCATCCGTTCCTGCAAAATTAAATTGTACCAAATTTAGTACCGTTTAGTACTTTTACTAATATCGACCCTAATTTTCAACTCGCATTACAATTTTTTTGCTCCATCCGTTCACAGGCTACGAAATTATAACAAATTTTGTACATTTTAGTACTATTCGGATACATATAGATCGAATTTGCAAAAACCTATTGGTACATCTATCCTACACTCCATCAGTGACTTTCAATCGAATTTCACATATTTCACAGTTCTAGCTCCACAGGTTCGCCAAATCAAAATATTACCATATTTAATACTTTTCGTGCAGTACTAGTACTAATTTCCAGGGTTTAAAATGTAGCATCAAAAAATATTAGCATTAGTCTTACAGAGCTACTGCTAAAAAATATTGACATTATGACTAAATCAGCAAACGGCTAGCTTTTTTAGTTCGTAGCATCCGTGCTAAGCACGTATTGCACATGTGAGCTTTTTTTGTTATGACTAATCGGCAGTACGACTACATATTCATATTTCGCTGCCGACGAATAATCAGCCGAGGGTTGTTTTTATGTTTGTGTGTTGCCAACGCAGAATTAGAAAAACGGCATTTCATTTTGTGCGTTTTTATTTAATTTAAGCTTGTCAAATCGCAATTAAAACTGTCAATAATAGTACTAAAAACTAAATAATATATTAAATTAAACTCTTTAGCAAGTATTACTAATTGTCTTTGTTCGAAAAAATGAAATTATCATAATCGCCATTTTTAATTATCTCATTTAATTTATAAAATTTCAATGGGCAACACTGAACTCGAAAAATGCTCGGGTTTTGTTTGCTAAAAATCTTGCTAAGCAGCCACAGTCAAGGTGCTTAGTCTTCATTGTAAGCTTTGGTTGTTAGTCGCGTTGACAATTATGTTGTAGTTGTTCATTGCTATTTTGTAGCTGCTGACAAGATCAAGAAGCTTTAGTTTTGCTTGCTAAAATTATTCGTAATGTATTGCTATTTGTTGCAGTTGTGCTTGGCTGTGCTGCATAGTTTGAGGATGAATTTAGTTAGCAGTGCGCCAATTTTCTGTGTTTTTGCTATTTTGGCGATAGCATTTTAAACCCTGCTAATTTCCAAAAACCCAGCCTTATCTGACACCTTTGGACTAAGAGTGACCTTCGCCAAAAATTTCAAGATTTCTGTAAGCCAGTATTGATATTCTTAAGGAGTTATTCAGAAAAAAATATATATAATTGTTCGAACATCCGCTGCATCCGGCAAGCGAAACAATTAAAAGAATCCTATTTCTTGCGAATAATTTAAATCATTAAAATATTTTTTTTTGTTCACACCCAGTTGTAGATTGGTGTGCCAAATCTTATCAAGGCCATAGTAGACCTTCTGCAGCTTTTTTATTTAATTTTTTGGAACAGAAATAATTTTGTAGGACCATACTGTAAAGCGAGCATAACAATTACATATAATAACATTTAAGTATATTATAGTTTACTTCCGACACATTTGCTTTACTGTATTCTCTGCACAGCTCGTCAGTACCAAGAATTCCATTCCTTTCTTCTATGTGAACGTTGTAGTTTGTTCTTTTAGCCTTTGCTTGTGTATTGTGAAGAGGTGGTCATAAAAGTGGCCGTTGGCAGCCATTTTGTTCCATTAAAAGTCATCATTTTTATTATGTTACAAGGATAAAAGGCGTTTTTCCTCTGTTTTGTGTGTGTGTCCTGGTACACCATTGTTCATGCTGTCCAATTAAAACTATATAATTCCATTTCCTTTCTTTCATTTTGCAGCATGTAGATTTTATATAGAGTATATATACCGATAATATATTTTTTTATCTAATTTATAGAGCAGCTCGTGGGCCTCAGCAAAGTATACCACAGATGATCTCCTACAAAAGGTCCTATAAAGAAATTCCTCTAACAACATATAATGTTACAATCTTACTATGATGTAGGCAATCTGGCCTCCTACAAAGAGCCCTACTGGGTTTCTATAAAGAAATACTACTAACCTCATACAAAGAAGCCCCACTGACCTCCTATAACGAAGTTCTACTGACCTTATATAAAAAAGACCGGAAGCTTCTTCTAACAAGAAAGAGACATTCAGCTCTTCAGTTCTTCTATGAAAAAGCAGACCTTCAACTCTTCTGACCACATATAAAAAATCTTACTCTCCTACTATAAAATAGATACGCTGGCCTTACACAAGGAAACCTTACTGGCCACCTATAAAGAAGCCCTACTGAACTTTTTTAATGAAGCCCTATTGATTTCCTATAAAGAAGACCGACAGATTCTGCTACCAAGAAAGAGTCCTTAAGCTCTTTTATAGATAAGACCTTCAGCTCTTCTATGAAGGAGAAGAAGACCTTTCGCTCTTCTATGGAGAAGAAGGCCTTCAGAACTCCTATTAATAATGCTTTGAGCTCTTTCATAAAGAAGACCTTACGTCATTACATAAAGAAGGCCTAAATCTCTTCCATGAAGAATATCTTTAGCCCTTCCATAAAGAATAACTTCAGCTCTTCTATGAAGAATACCATCAGTTCTTCTATCAGGAAGAAGATTTTCAGTTATAATGTAAACAAGAATACCTGTGGATTTCCTACGAAGAAAACAATACCTTGAAGAAGGAAACTTCAGATCTTCAGTTAAGAATATCTAGAAGATTTTCTATGAAGAATACCTATAACCTTTTTATTAAAAATACCTATAACTCTTCTCTGAAAGTAACCAAAAGCTCTTCAAGTCACATTTACTTGTTCTAAAATCTTACAAATGAAAATTTACACCTTACCCTCCTCGATCCACTGTCTGCAGTCAATGCCAGTAATAGTTACAAATTGTTAGCCAGTAATTTTCTGGCAACGCCTTTGCCTGCAGCAGCACGTTAACAATTTTACTTACAAATTGTTATTATCCTGTGGTTAAACCATACTTATGAAAGGATGTTGAAGCGTAGCAAAAAAAATGTTCCATGGCCAACTACAACCTGACAGCTAA